CCTTCCCATCCTCACTGGTGTGGTCAACGTTAATGTGCGTGGCAAGTATGGATGTCATCTTTCTTACTTTGTCAACATTCATTATAAAATAATATATGCAGATCAGGGATTCGGGCTGCCTGGACAACATGTGACGTTTAGCACGGGGATACAAACTACAAGAATATTGTTTATCTTTAGTCTACCAGTCTTGGTGAGAAATTGAGGCACGCAGTTGACTGTTTGGTTATTGTAGTGCCGCGACGCGGTGGAATCAGACGCTTGTCCGTTTTGTCTTGGTAAATGGGGCTATTGACTATTGATACAATCCTAAAGCCTGTTCATTTTTTTTGTCTTGTTTAGGTGAAAATATTACACCCATCTATTTTGAATAGAAGTCAAGCTACTTGCGATTGAAGGAGGTGGGGGTCGTCTTGTGTCAGGTGTAAGGTTATCGAGAAAATGGCCACCTAATGTGTTGACTTTCAAAGCTTGAGTGTCCCTGAAAACTGCAAATTACGTTCTTAGCAATTTTGGAAGCTATGCATCGTCAGAAAATAGATCCGGGTAACGTGTCCCCGTAGGCTCACAAGTAAATAAGCTGATACAAAATTTCCGAAATTATTTGACAAAGCTTTGTTTCTTTATTTATTTAAGTAACAAAGAAACAAGGGGAATAAGCTGGAAATAGAGTCTTTTCGTCCATAAGATCACAACACTGTTTTGACATTTTCTACATCTTCCATAAAGTTTGCCAGTAGGTTCCACTGAAACTTGATATGTTTCTGGGAAACAGCGTTGGTAACAGCAGGTTATCTGTGCGGTATGATATTTTCCTTTTCATTAAGATATTATTTTTAGCTTCATGAAAACTGTGGCAAACCTTATATGTGTCTGTGAGAAAAAGTATGACCAACTCAGCTGGTAAACTTCAAGGGAGATTTTGCATGAACAATTGCCTTTTTGTTGCACTTCAGACACCAATAGACATTAGTTATACATGTAGTACACCAATGTGTTGCTCCCTGGGTTCAATAATAAGGAAGCTTGCTTCATATTGTGACATGCCATCTTTTCACGTGATTTATAAACCAGTTTAAACCGAGTAGCCCCTTAAGCAATACGAAAAGGAGGCTATTGTTGATTTATTATGGGGCATATAATAATATCATTCACCCATGGCCTTGTCTACTTCAGAGATCGCAGAGACGCAATACCGCCATCTGCTTTATTAATTCTGAATTGTTCCAGTTTTCGAACCCTTCATATGGACAGAAGTGGCAATCATTTAATTATAATATTTACGACTTTGGGGGTCTCTACGCATTAAGTGAAACCGGGTTAAAGGTGTTAAGTTCATCGACTCCTCCGAAAAAGAAAGAGTTATATGAAAAGGAAATAAATCGAAAATTTATGAACCTCGAAATGTTAAAAATACGTGAAGGGGGGGGGGGGGGGGGGGGGTAAAATACATGTACATGTTTATACCTTTATTTAAAATGTTGTTTGAATTTTTTTCCACCGGATTTACGGCTTGCTCTGAAACATTTCCTTAAAGCCTGTAAATATCCCGTCCTGACTTCGAAGTAGGAGTCAATGGTATCAGCGTGTCGATCGAGGTAGTTAATCAACTCCTTCCCATCCTCACTGGTGTGGTCAACGTTAATGTGCTGTCAATATGGATGTCATCTTTCTTACTTTGTCAACATTCATTATAAAATAATATATGCAGATCAGGGATTCGTGCTGCCTGGACAACATGTGACGTTTAGCACGGGGATACAAACTACAAGAATATTGTTTATCTTTAGTCTACCAGTCTTGGTGAGAAATCGAGGCACGCAGTTGACTGTTTGGTTATTGTAGTGCCGCGACGCGGTGGAATCAGACGCTTGTCCGTTTTGTCTTGGTAAATGGGGCTATTGACTATTGATACAATCCTAAAGCCTGTTCATTTTTTTTTTGTCTTGTTTAGGTGAAAATATTACCCATCTATTTTGAATAGAAGCCAAGCTACTTGCGATTGAAGGAGGTGGGGGTCGTCTTGTGTCAGGTGTAAGGTTATCGAGAAAATGGCCACCTAATGTGTTGACTTTCAAAGCTTGAGTGTCCCTGAAAACTGCAAATTACGTTCTTAGCAATTTTGGAAGCTATGCATCGTCAGAAAATAGATCCGGGTAACGTGTCCCCGTAGGCTCACAAGTAAATAAACTGATACAAAATGTTGGAAATTATTTGACAAAGCTTTGTTTCTTTATTTATTTAAGTAACAAAGAAACAAGGGGAATAAGCTGGAAATAGAGTCTTTTCGTCCATAAGATCACAACACTGTTTTGACATTTTCTACATCTTCCATAAAGTTTGCCAGTAGGTTCCACTGAAACTTGATATGTTTCTGGGAAACAGCGTTGGTAACAGCAGGTTATCTGTGCGGTATGATATTTTCCTTTTCATTAAGATATTATTTTTAGCTTCATGAAAACTGTGGCAAACCTTATATGTGTCTGTGAGAAAAAGTATGACCAACTCAGCTGGTAAACTTCAAGGGAGATTTTGCATGAACAATTGCCTTTTTGTTGCACTTCAGACACCAATAGACATTAGTTATACATGTAGTACACCAATGTGTTGCTCCCTG